ACCCATCACCGTCTCGTGGATCGGCGTGTGCGGCTGGGAGGCACCTGATTTGTGACATCCCACCACTTGTTACGCTCCATTCCACCCCGCCGCAGCCGATGGCACTGCAACACATGGTACGAGTACACAGGAAGCTAACAACACCTGTTTGCCGTGGCTGGATCAGGTCAAGCGCTCCGTAATTATGGGCAACCTGTCGTGAATTCCGGCATTTTGAACCAACATCTTTACGCACTCTCGCACGTGTGGGTTGCTCCAACGTCCTTTTGAGGATTGTGCTGCAAATGCCGGTATTTCCAACCACTTTGCCGTATCGTCTGGACTCGTGGCGCCATACTACTCGTCCGCACTTGCTATCACCATTCGCACGAGCACGCCCGTGCTGTGGCTTTGTCAACAGGTTATGTAATCACTCCAAGAATGAAAAAAATGTTTTTTATAAAAATGGATAGGGAGTTCTAGTAATATAGGTTGCTAGTACTAGTACCGTGCGGCGTCAATCACCTGATCGATGACGCTGAGGTAGTGCATGACGTACGCGGGTCGGAAGTGGTCATCGTCGCGCATGATGGGCTCGCCGACGTTTGAAAGGACTTGGCATGTGTCCTTGTAGCACTGGTTGTCGGCAAAGTTGATGAGCGTCGCGTTCGCCGTCTTGGTCGCAGCCAAAAGCAGTTGGTGGAGGTACGCGATCTGCGGCGTCGCTTCGTACGCGGCGCGCGAGACCGGGTCGACCTTGCCGACGCCGCTGCCGCTGAGCATGTTCTTCGGGTTGAACTCCTTGCCCTCCGGGTTGAGGCCCGCAACATAGACCTTGATCCCGAGCTTCGTAAACGACGTGAGCTCGTCCGTGAGCGTCTTGATCATGGCCTCGACGTCGCCTTTCGACTGGTAATCGCACGCGTCCGCGTAGCTGCGCGTGCAGCAGCGCGGTGACGCGCTCGCACTCGCCGAGCTGCTGCCAAAGCGCAAAAACTGCTTCCAATCGGACGCGTAGAGCACCGACTTAGGCTTGACCATCTTGATGGCTTCGACGGCGTTGGTGTGGTCGCTGTTGCAGCTCAGCGGCGGCATGCCGTTGGCCGTGAAGAACACCGCGGACGGGAACCGAAGCGGCGCGCTGGCATTAGCCGCAAGCGTGTTGAGGTGCGAGTACCGGATCTTGAGCATATGGCCGTGCGAGTCGCCGACAACGTACGTCACGGACGGCTTGTTGGGGTTGAGCACCGACGACTCGGGCGCCCAGCCGTACGGCCCGTCCTTCTCCGTCCACGAGTAGCCCGGGCCGTCGTCGTGCTCGTCGATGGCGGCGCGGATCTTGGCGGCCGTCGGCTGCTCGAACATCGGCGGCTTGCTCATATTGGGCGGCTCGGTATCGGTGGCGTTGACGATCGGGCCGCGCGACGGCGGCAGCGGCCCCGACGTCTCGAGCGCAGAGAACGCGGTCGGGTACAGCTGAATGCAAATCCCGAGCATGGCCATGACCACCATGAGCGCCGAGAGGAGCGGCACAAGCCACTTGGCCTTGCGGCGGCGCAGGTGGTTCTCGACACCGTAGAGCGTAAAGACACTGAGCAGGAGCGACAAGATGACCATGGCGTACGGCATCGCGTACCACGGGCGGAGCTCGGTCTGCGGCCAGTGCGCTTTCGCAAACACAAGCAGCGGCCAGTGCCAGAGGTACCACGCATAACTGAGCTGGCCGATCCAGACCATCGGGTAGAGGCTCAGAAAGTACTTGTGCACAAACGTGTTGGGGCCGCTCGCGATGAGGAGGGCGGCGCCGGCGGTCGGGAGCAGCGCCCAAAAGCCCGGAAACGCGTCTTCTTCGTTGATGATGACAAAGCCAAGAACGAGCGCGCCCAGACCGAGGAGCGCCAATACGTGGCAGAGTCCCTGGTGCGCGACCATGACCTTGTTTTGGAGGTTGATGTACGAGAGGAGGCCGCCGACCGCCATTTGCCAAAAGCGCGACAGCGGAAAGTAGAATGCATAGTTGTTGGTGCCACCGTACCCGAGGAACGCCACGTTGCAGACAAAGCTCGCAACCAAGACAAACACTTGGGCAAGAATCGCCTTTCGGTACGACAGCTTCATGACGAGTGACGCAAAGAGCGGCCAGAAGATGTAAAACTGCTCTTCGACACCGAGCGACCAGAGGTGCAAGAGCGGGTTCTCCTTGATGCTCGCGTCGAAGTAGCCCATCTTGAGCGTGAGCACTTGGATGTTGGCGCCAAAGACGCAGCCCGCGGTCAACGTCGCGGCCATCGATTTCAGCGGCGTCGCAAGGTACCAGGCGCAGCCAAGACTGACCGTAGCAATGAGCATGAGGAGGAGGCCGGGAAAGATGCGTCGGATACGCCGGGCGTAAAAGTCCGAGTACGTAAACTTGGCCGCTTTGAACTGCTTGAAGAGAATCCCGGAAATCAAAAAGCCGGAAATCACAAAAAAGATGTCAACACCGATAAAGCCACCGGCAAACGAGGTCGGATACGCGTGAAAGATGACGACGGGCACGACCGCGACCGTCCGGAGCCCGTCAATGTCGGCCCGGTACGAGAGCGAATGGGCAGGTGGCGCGGCTTCGTGCAGCACCTCCTCTTCGTTCGGGAGGTCGTCGTGGATAAGAACGGGAAAGCTGTCGTGGCTGCCGTCCGTGAGCGCCGAGAACTCGTGGCTCGGCGGCGTTGCGACTGTCGAGGCCATCGCAAAATGCAAACTGAAGAGTGACAACGTCGAGGTAGTCGGGTGTTGCAAATGCTGCGTGAAAAAAGGCACGACTGCGATCAGCCTTCAACGAATCGACTGGTGTATACTCAATCGGCTGCGACAACGAACTAGGTTTAGGCGGTGGAATGACACCGACTGCGGCCGAACAAGCTCTCGTGGGGTGGAATGGCGCCACATGACGTGCGGCAAATTTCTCGGCCAGCACACCAATGGAGCACGGCTCTCGCCTCTCGTCGATACGCTCGAACGACGCTGTACTAGTACGCGCTTCTGTTTGAAGCGCTGGTGATGGTCCAACGCTACCGCCAACACGCGGTCGACATGGTGATGCCGATCCTAGTGTTGCACACTGTTGGGCTCGCCCGGAACGACCGAGTCTTCTGACCCGAGGCGCCCGAAGCGGCACCCGCGCCGCGCTCTTGACCAAGCTGCATCTTCACCACTTGTTGCTGACTACCCAAGCGATGGGCCTCTTCCACATCATCAACGCCCTGCACCACGACGCCTGGCTTCGAGATCACTTCGTCCCGGCTTGCGCCATTCATACGCCTCGCCTTCAACACGGCCAAGCCTCGCCGCTGCTGCCGCCAAGCCCAACGCACTCGCCAACCATCGACGCAATGTGGTTCTAAACCGTAGTACTAGTACGATCTCGCTGCTTCCAGATTCTCGACCAGACGCCGTCTCTGTGGCACCCACCATTCGGAGCGACGATCTTCAATGCAAGTGTAGTCGACAGTCGCGGATGGCGTTGGCGTCCGGCGAGATAGCCACCGTGGCCTTTGCCGGTCCTGTTCCACTCGAGAGTCGCAGACCCTGTGACGTCCCACATGTAAGCGTACGGCAGACCATCTGATGCGGGGACCAGGGTTGGATTGGTCATCACCAGCTGTTTTGGTCGGAAGGCCGACACGACCACCGTCGTAACAGGGAAGCGCTGCGACTGCTGTCGAGAAGCGCTGCGACGTCTTTGTTTCCAGCGCGCCAAGATACATATACTGTCGTATCAGTCGCACCACCTCGTCGAGTTAGACACGCAGATGCGTCGGTCGTTCGCTCGCCGATTACGACGCGGACACCGCCACCAGCGATGCAACACAGCACGCTGTCATGAAGACTGTCGACGGAGCCTGCACGTTTGGCTTAGGGCGCGGTGCGGTGCAGCACCGACTTTTCCGCGAGCGCCTTGTGTCGCAGCGCCGTGTGCTGGGCTTGGATCGTGTCGAACGTCTCGAGCAGCGGTGCCAGCAGCACGCGCGGCGGCGTCAAAGGCGTCGGCAGCGGCTCTTGCTTGGCAATCGCCATCGTCATCTGGGTCACGCTCGCAAGCCGGTCCCGCAGCGTCCGAAACGCAGAGCTCTACCATGCACATGAGACATGCTCGCACAACCTCCCACGAAAATGGACCTGCGGCAAGAGCATGAGGAGCCCATACAAGCTCTTCATGAGGTTGGCGTGGGACGGCGCGCGGGTCTCGAGGAGCTGGAGGCGCAGCTGGATAAAGATCGGCGACTCGAGGAGCTGCACGAGCTTGTCGATCTGCATGAGGAAGCCCACGGACGCGTCGATCTCGCTAAACTTGTGGATGAGCGCGTTCGAGAGCTCGTACGACTGCGCGAGGAGGCAGAGGCTAAACGTCGAGACCGGGTTGTGGCACCACGTTTTAAAGAGCGTCTACTCCATAAACCCATTTAACCGACCATCCCACCGCAAGGAATGTACGGTAAACACGTCAATGTCGTCCGAGGACGCCGAGACGTCAAAGCTGCGGCGGAGGATCGTCCGGAGGTGCTCCTACGCGACGCTCAGATCTGACCGATGACAACCAAGCGTCAGACGAGTTCATTGGCCGTGAGCAAGATCAAGTTGAGCGTGTGCACCATGAGCGACACAAACTCGAGGTCCTGGTACGTCGAGAGGACGGTCGCGATGACCATGTAGATGCTCTTGGCTTCCAAAAGCGTGCAGAGCTTGCGAATGATGAGGCTGCCGCGCTTCTCCTATTGTATCAATGTATCAACACACGGGTACCAAAAGCGAGGGTACGAGGAGCCGGCTGTCGGTCGCAAAGAGCTGAATGACGGCTTGGAGCACCTTGGAGAACTCGAGGTGGCTCAGACTCGTGCTCAGACGGGCAAGGACCTCGAGGTCCAAGAGCACCACCGGGTCCGCCGCGTCACTAGACAATATTCGTATCATTTTAGCAGACAATCTCGCATTGTCTCTTGCCTGAGTGTCTTGAGCAGCGTGGGCAGGAGCGAGTGAATGTGCGTCGTGAGCTGCGTCGGCGTCTTCTCCAAGAGCATCGCGATCCAGCTCAGCGCGGCCATCCGAGTCGCAATGTGGTCGCTGAGTAACTCGACGTTGAGTTTCGACATGAGCGGCATGAAATCCACGTTGCTCCTACGTAGTTTTGAGATTGAGTATGGCGTTTTTGGGATTCAGAGTCATAGCAAGTACTCGGTGGTTTTGACGAGCGCGAGCAAATCCGAGTTGGAACGCTCGCCGACAATGCGAATCTCCGTCTCGGCATCCGAGATGCAGTGCAAGATGGCGCCGAGGAGGTCGCCGTAGAAGCGGACAAGCCGCTCCTTCCCGAGCACGACAAACTCATGGACCCACGTCGCCGCTGTCAAGCGCGTGAAGCGCTCCTTGGACTGGCACTGCGCCACGAGGATGTGCACCATCGGGCCAAAGTCGACAAACGGCGTCGACTTGATCTCTCGGAGGAACTCGGTGAGCGCCGAGTCGGCGGCCTGTCGGATCTCGCGGTTGCCGTCGCTGAGCATGTTGAAGAGGCCGTCGAGGAACTCGGGGAGCCAGTCGAGCATCTCAATGTCGGGCACCGAGTCGAGCACCGTGATCCAGCCCACCTACATGGACGTGGTATGAGGCAAGACACAACATGGATGATGATGACGCGGTACGAGGAGCTGGCGGATGTACGGGTTGGTCATGCGAATGTACTTGTGCAATAGCGGGATGAAGAGCTCGACGTCAAACACCTCGCTCTCGGTCACAATGTCCTTGACGAGCCGATCGAGGAGGTTGGCGCCGTTCTTGACGTCGACGTCGACATCGGCAAAGAGCTTGCACAAGCTACACATGATGGGTGCCTGCTGGACAAGGAAGGAGCTAGATCGTACCCGTCGAAGATCTGGTTGAAGTACTTGAGAATGTCTTGGCGAGCGACCTTGGCGATGTTGTAAAGGCTTTCGCAGGCGTAGTACCTAGACACATGTGAATTGAATGAACTAGCTAGGTCGTTGGATGTACCGGACACGGCTTTCGGGATCGTCAAAGCAGTGCAGCACTGGCGGCATGAGCAGGTCCAGGTAGAGCTTGGCGTCGTGCATGAGGCCGATCGCCGTGCCTGCGAGGCCGATGAGGCCACCCTTGCGGTAGTTGGCGTTCGTCGAGCACGTAAACTGGTGCTGGAGCAGGTCGATGATGAGCGGAATCGACTCCTTCGCCTGCGGCGACCCGCTTTCGGCCAGCTGCTTGACGAGGTTCTCGACCTCGAGGGCGGCGCCCTTGCGCTTGTCGTAGGACCGGTCGCCGAGGTTGCGCAGGAGGTTGGGCGAGAGCGGGACCTCGGCGCCGCTGGCCGAGGCCGTGATCGACGACGTGGTTCCGACCGAGAGGCCCGCGAGCGAGAGATCCGACATGGCTGGGGCGAAAGAGGAAATGGAAAATTGAAATCTACTATCATGCGTGTATTTTAATACAAATGTTTTATTCCGAATACAAATATAGTCTAATAATGTAATATATATAATGGCATGAATCAAATCCACTGCACCCAACTCCAAGCTCCAGGAGTGGCTAAAAACAGCGGAATACTGTGCACGGATTGGCTAGAAGCGCTGAAATGAGACCAATCCTGCGCAAAGCAAGATATGACCCGACCAAGCAGCGAGCCATCGAGGTGCGGAAGGCCCGACCACGCCACCTCTCTACTGTCAGCAGTGTAGCCGCGACTAACTAAAGCGACTAGGCGAACTGCAGTAATAGGCGATCGCACTCGCATCATCGGTCGTCGAAGGTTGTTGTCGTCAGTTGTGTTTGCGACGCACAACGCATCGAACCAGCACAGCGAGTGTCACGGGCTTCTCCACTACCATAGCGTAGAAGATGCCAATGCAGGAACGCAGTAGAAGGGCTTGTTCGCTTGTCTACTCGGGCGGGCCTTGCAGCGCTTGGCGCAAGCGATGCATGTCGATCGTCGACAAGACATCATCTTGGTCCACCCCGCCACCGTGGCCTCATGCATTGGAGCATTGGTTGAGCTTGGGTCATCGGTGATTCAAAAGAGGTCTTCGCTCAAGCTATTGGTTG